TGAAACTGAGAATTTTAAATGGCATATGAGCTACATGTATTTATTAGTGGTAATGATAAATTAACGGGTTAATTTCACTGATGGTCATTGAACTATTTTTCAATTTCACTAAAGTCATATAACTATTTTTTATCACTTAAAAGTAACTAAACTTTATTATTGTCACTTAAAAGTCATTTTGCCTCAAACTCTACCATAAATATGACATGACATTAAATTTTATGATAAAAATCTAAAAATAAATGCCACATAAGCTAATATGAGTCATACTCATTTTAGATCCATTTATCCTTTAATGTGATTTGATCCATAATCCAAATGCGTTTCGATAAAAAAAATATTAATTCCACATTAGTTTAAAATGATTATCCTATGCTATAAAGTTTTGCCTTTTCTGTCACAGCACATTCATATTATTCTATACTAAAATAATCTATACTAGAAAATTCTTATTTTGTTTGTATGCCCCATCCGAGTCATTCATAATTATTCTATACTAAAATAATCTTTGCTAGAAAATTCTTATTTTGTTTGTATGCCTCATCTGAGTCATTTTAAAATACTATTGTATACAATAGTATTTTAGCTTCAGTAGAGTTATAAAATGACTCAGATGGGGCATACAAACAAGATAAAAATTTTCTAGCATAGATTATTTTAGTATAGAATAATTATGAATGTGCTGTGACAGAAAAGATAAAATTTTGTAGTATAGGATAATCATTTTAAATTAATGTGGATTTAATATTTTTTTTTATCGAAACTCATTTGGATTATGGATCAAATCACATTAAAGGATAAATGGATCTAAAATGGGTATGACCTATATTAGCTTATGTGGCATTTATTTTTGGATTTTTATCATAAAATTTAATGCCATGTCATATTTATGGTAGGGTTTTGAGGCAAAATGACTTTTAAGTGACAATGATAACGTTTAGTTATTTTTAAGTGACAAAAAATAGTTATATGACTTTAGTGAAATTGAAAGATAGTTCAATGACCATCAGTGAAATTAACCCATAAATTAACATAATGATTGAAAAGTGAGTTTGATAGAGAAATATCAAAAAGTCTAAGTTTTAAAAGGTTAATGAATTTAAATTCCTCAAAATTATATAAACAATATTATTAGTGGAGTTGTAGTGTCAAATATGTTATGAGTTCCAAAGAAAATTTCATATATATATGGCTAGTCACTTATTCTCCTAGTTTCCAAATGATCTTAACTCTTAAGAGGTCGTTTGGTCGGAAAATAAGTTATCTCGGAATTTTTATTCTACTTTTATTGGAATTAAAAAAATACTACAATCCCGGATTAATTCATTTCTAAATTAGTTATACTATAATTTTATCCCAACCAAACGTGGAATAAACTAATTTAAATTTTAATCAGAGATTAATTATACCTTATTTCTGGTACAAAACGAGTCCCAAGTTCTTTACTATACATCCAACAAATCAATCATCTCATGGTCAGTGTGATTAATAGGAATGACTCTGTAAAAGGTGACGTGTATACTGCAACTAATAGAAAACACGTGTATTACACTTTTCATATATTCCAAAGCTTCCATTCTCGGATTTTCATTACTTTCGCTCTAAGTTTTTGACCGGTGAGTTCCTCAATCTTCTTCTACGCTTTTCTATGTTCGTTCACTCTTTCAAATAATTAGGTTATTTATGGCCTGAGGTATCCTTTTTTAATGGCATCACGTATTTGTCATCTCAAAGTAATATTCTCCCCTTCTTCCGTTGGTTCAATTTCATGTTTAGTGTTTAACTACAAGTTTTGTATACAAAAATGTAGCAGATTTTAAATTGAATTTAAGATCAAGTTTAGTTCCTCAATATGTCTCAATGAGCTTGGGACAAGTCTAATTTCTGAAACTTAAATTGATTTATGTGAATTTTCTCTTACTCCATATATAGTCCTTATGTAAATTCCTCTGCATGATGGCCTGTTGTGCTGGCTTTCCTTTTCTAGCTTCTGCAATGGTTTGTTTATTTGGTATAGAGCCTGAAAATGAGGTTGTGTTAGCATTATGCTTAGCAATGCACCCAAGCTGTTTGTTAATATGCTTAAAACAATTGAAATTTTCTACTGTGTTTTTTCTCAACAAAAAAAAGAACGAAGTATTAAGTTGTGTTTCTTTTACAAATATATAAAGTTAAATAATTTCAATGTATTAATGTGAAATAAAATAAAGTTCCTTTTATTCAATTCAATAGAAAGAGGGGCAACTCACAAGGGATGGCCAGTGTGCACGATTATAGTTCTTTTAATTCTAAGACCTTGATATTTCAGAGATTCATACAATATAGTAAAGATATCTAGCCAACCCATTTAGTTTTTTTTTCTTTTTTGGGGGAGGGGGGAGGGGGGACGAGAGGAAAAAATATATAAGAAAAGAAGTTCTATATAATAAAAAGAGATTGCAAACTGAACTTTGGTGAACAGGAGGAGGATAAATCAATAGTTAAACTACCCTGCAACTTGCTTAAAGGTAAAACAAAAGCAAATAGGACAACAACAATGTACCCAGTAATATCCCACACTGTGGGGTTTGGGGAGGGTCGTGTGTACGCAGACCTTACCCCTACCTTGTGAGGATAGAGAGGTTGTTTCCAATAGACCCTCGACTCAGGAAAGCATAAGCACCACATTAATGAAAATATAGACAAGAAGGGGCAGTACCAAAAAGCCATATAAAAACAGAATAAAAAAACAAGAAGACAGTAAGGTGATCAACAATAAAAGAAAATAACGGTTAGTCATAAAAACCTACTACCAACCGAAAGCGAGACTGCGTGCTAATACTACTGTTAAAAACACTCTAGACTACCTACTCTACTACCCTAATCCTCGACCTCCATATCTTCCTATCAAGGGTCATGTCCTCGGTCAGCTGAATCTGCGCCATGTCTTGCCTAATCACCTCTCCCCACCTCTTCTTTGGCCTACCTCTACCTCTTCGTAGACCCTCAAATGTCAACCTCTCACACCTTCTCACTGATGCGTCTGTGCTCCTCCTCCTCCTCCTCCTCCTCACATGATCAAACCACCTAAGTCGCGCTTCCTGCATCTTGTCCTCAATAGGGGCCACACCCACCTTGTCGCGAATAACCTTATTTCTGATCCTATCTAACCTGGTGTGCCCGCAAATCCATCTCAACATCCTCATCTCTGCTACTTTCATCTTCTGTACATGAGCGATCTTGACTGGCCAACACTCATCCCCATACAATATCGTTGGTCTGACCACCACTCTGTAGAACTTACCCTTAAGTTTCGGTGGCACCTTCTTGTCACACAAAATACCAGAAGTGAGTCTCCATTTCTTCCATCCCGCCCCAATACGATGTGTGACGTCTTCTTCAATCTCCCCATCCCCCTGAATAATAGACCCAAGGTACTTAAAACTCTCTCTCCTAGGTATGACCTGCGAGTCCAGCCTCACCTCCCCTTCCCCTCCTTGAGTATCGCCACTGAACTTACACTTCAAGTATTCTGTCTTAGTCCTGCTTAACTTGAAACTTTTAGATTCCACGGTCTTCCTCCATACCTCTAATTGCGCGTTCACACTGTCTCGCGTCTCGTCAATAAGTACAATATCATCTGCAAATAGCATGCACCACGACACCTTCCCTTGGATGTGGCGCGTTAGTACGTCCATCACCAAAGCAAGCAAAAAAGGGCTGAGTGCCGACCACTGATGCAACCCCATCATAACCGGAAAATAGTTTGAGTCCCTACCTACCATCCTCACTCGGGTCTTTACTCCATCATACATGTCCTTAATCAACCTAACGTAGGCAATAGGTACACCTCTAGCCTCCAAATATATCCACAAAACCTCCATCGGAACTTTATCGTACGCCTTTTCTAAGTCGATGAACACCATATGCAAGTCCTTTTTTCTCTCCCTATACTGCTCCATCAATCTCCTAACAAGGTGGATGGCTTCTGTAGTCGAACGCCCCGACATAAACCCAAACTGGTTCTCGTAAATAGACACACTCCTGCTCACCCTTAGCTCTACCACTCTCTCCCAGACTTTCATAGTATGGCTAAGCAGTTTGATACACCGATAGTTATTGCAATTTTGGATATCACCCTTGTTCTTGTATACAGGAACCATCGTGCTCCACCTCCACTATCCGGGCATCTTCTTCATTATAAAAATGACATTAAATAACCTAGTGAGCCACTCCAAGCCTGCCTTGCCCGCACTCTTCCAAAACTCCACTGGGATTTCATCCGGCCCGGTCTCTTTGCCCTTGCTCATCTTATGCATAGCCCCCTCAACTTTATCAACTCTAATCCGCCTACAATACCCAAAGTCACAACGACTCCCCGAGAGTTCCAAATCACCCAATACAATGCTCATGTCCCCCTACTCATTCAAGAGACTATGGAAGTAGGTCCGCCATCTCCAACGGATAAGCCCCTCATCAAACAAAACTCTACCTTCTTCGTCCTTGATGCACTTCACTTCGTCCAAGTCCCACGTTTTCCTTTCTCATGCCTTGGCTAACCTGAACAACCTCTTATCCCCACCTCGGCCCTCGAGTTCCTCATACAAACGACTAAAAGTTGCAGTCTTGGCCGCCGTAACTGCTAGCTTTGCCTCTTTCTTAGCCAACTTATAATGCTCCTTATTCGCCCTCTTCTCCTCCTCGTCTACACTTTCCACTAGCTTCAGATACACTGCTTTCTTGGTTTTCACTTTTCCTTGCACCTCTCCATTTCACCACCAGTCTCCCTTATAACCACCAGAGTAACCCTTTGAGACCCCTAATACCTCTTTCACGGCTTCCCTAATGCACTGCGCAGTCACCGGCTTGACCCCCAACTCCTACACTTTAGCTTCCGTCTAGGCTCCCCAATTGATCCTATGTTGGCTATACATCGTCCTCTTCCTCCTCTTCCTCATGATCTCATGGTCCATGACCAGGAGCCTATGAAGGGTTGAGAGGTTCTCACTCGAGATGACCTTGCAATCCGTGCAAAGACCTCTATCAGACTTCTTGCAGAGTAAATAATCAATCTGAGTCTCGCCCACCGAACTCCGGAAGGTGACCAAGTGCTCCCTCTTCTTCGGGAAACTCGAGTTTGCTATCATCAAATCAAATGCTCTAGCAAAGTCTAGTAGATACGTTCCTCCTCCGTTTCTATCTCCAAAACCAAAGCCACCATGCACATCATCATATCCTCTAGACGTCGTTCCAATGTGGCCGTTGAAATCGCCTCCTATGAAAAGCTTCTCGGTATGCGGGATACCACGCACCATCTCATCCAAATCCTCCCAGAAATGCCTCTTGACTTCCTCATCCATGCCTGCTTGGGGTGCGTACGCACTGATTATGTTCAAAGTAAAACCTCCAACAACTAGCTTAATAACCATCAGCCTGTCATTCACCCTCCTAATCTCCACCACTAGTTCACGGAGGTCCTTATCAGCTAAGATACCTACCCCGTTCCTTCCCCCACCCTCCCAGAATAGCAAAGTTTGAAACTGCCCACATCCCGCGCCTTATCTCCTACCCACCTAGTCTCCTGTACACAAGCTATATTAATCTTTCTTTTCTCGAGAATCTTCGCTAACTCTACAGATTTTTCAGTAAAAGTTCCTATGTTCCAAGACCCCACTCTCAGCCTATTAGATCCCTTATCCCTTTTACCCTCCTTACCCCCTCCCTCGCGCTGACACCCCCGAGGACAAGACCTTACTCTACCATCGTTCACCAAATTCACTATAATCTAGGAGTCATTACGCAAGCAGTTTCCCCAAAACAAGCGACAAAAATAAAATGAACTACCGAAATATAATATACCACTAAATGTCGCAAAACAGGTGAAGAAGTAAAATAAAGGAACTAACGAGGACTATAATCTACAACTAAAAGTCAGAAAAACAGGTGAATAAATAAAACAAAGGAACTAAAGGAACTATAATCTACAACTAAAGGATAGAAAAAGCAAATAGGACAAACCTAAAATATATCATGTAGACTTCTAATGTGATAATCCCTCTGTCACGACCCAAAATCCATCTAGTCGTGATGGCACCTAACCTAACCTATCAAATAAACCAATTAACAACTATCCAATTTAAATGAGATTTATTAGGAAAAAAATGATAATAAAACTGCTTTATACAAGAATTCCTAAGGGCTGGTAGTACAAAACTACAAATCATGAGCTTCTAAGATTTAGAGTTTACAAAGCTAGTATGAAATAAATACATCATCTATCCGAATATACATACACAGATTTTTATAAGTGTAGGGCTACCATGAACAAGAGGCAGCTGTAACTGGAACGCTGGTACATCTTCAAATCCAGCTCTCGCCGTGCACAACAACATCAACATCCAACATCTGCACGCAAGGTGTAGAAGTGTAGTATGAGGACAACCGACCCCGTATACTCAATAAGTAACAATCATAACCTTAGGTTGAAAGTAGTGATGAGCTGGAATAAAGGTCGGAGTCCAACACCAATAGATAACAACATTTCATAACAACACAATAAAAGTGATAAAAGAGTAACTCAGAGATATAGTGCTCAGCTCGTTCACAGTTCCGGAAAATAGGCATGCTTTTCAAGTATGTCAGTGAAAACCCAAATCTTTTACCGAAATCACCAAAATATGAGTACGTTTGTAAAACTGTGATTTTTCCCAAAACTTTCAACAGGTAAATGTTTCATTTTCAAATAGCATGAGGAAAATACATCCTTATGCCTACATGTCAATGAGTATGTGAACTCATGGATGACGCAATATCATACAACATGAGTAAAATGCATCTCTATGTCTGTATGTCAAGTGTGCATGTCGAATGTAATGCAACTCAGTGATAAAACAATATGCATACTCTCAAAGTATCAATTCACCCAGTCCTCCCAGTAACTCAGTCCTCACAGTCCCTTAGTCTCCACAGTCACTCAGTCCTCCCAATCACTCGGCACTCGCACTCAGTAGGTACCTGCGCTCACTAGGGTGTGTACAGACTCCGGAGTGGCTCCTTCAGCCAAGCGCTATAAGAAGCCAATCATGGCATAAATCAATAAAATATGTTGCGGCGTGCATCCTAATCCCATCAATACCCTCATAATTAGGCCCTCAGGCCCACTCAGTCATCAATCTCTCCAGTCTCTCGGGCTCACAATGTCATAAAAATCAGCCCAACGTGATGATGTGATGTATCAATAAATGGTAACATAGACTGAGATATGATATGCAAATGAATGCATATGACTGATTATGTAATTGCAATGTAAGCAAATAACTCAACAGCAGAAATGACCTCAGTGGATCCTAACAGGATAAGCATATAGCCTAGACATGGTTTCTAATATAGATCACAACCCAATTGCTCTAATTTCATGGATACAAATAAGATTAGATAACTACACAGTACCACAGAAATAACCGAGTCACAATCCACATAGTGCATGCCCACATGCCTATCACCTAGCATGTGCGTCACCTCAACACCAAACACATATCACGTATATTCAGGGCTTCATTCCCTCAGCATCAAGTGTTACTTACCTCGAACAAGCCAAATCCAATACCGAGCAAGCCAAGCGATGCTCCAAAAATGCCATCCCGCGCGTACCTACCTTTAAATGGCTCGAAACTAGCAAAAAGCAACTCAAATACATCAAATAATGCCAAAGGAAACAAACCAAATCGATAAAGGTCGAATCTTTAATCAAAAGTCCAAAATAACCAAAAACTTTAACCTGGGCCCGCGCCTCGGAACTCGACGAAACTTATAAAATCTGAAAACCCATTCAATTACGAGTCCAACCATACTAATTTCACAAAAATACGACTTCGAATCAAAGTTCAAAACTCAAAAACTCACTCCATGGAACTTTAGGCTAAAATCCCCAATTTTCTCTTTAAAACTCATAATCCAATAACCAAAAATGAAGATAAAATCACGAAATATAATCAAAATCGAGTGTAGAACACTTACCTCAATCCTTGTGATGAAATTTACTTCAAAAATTGTCTCAATCCGAGTCCCACATCTCAAAATATGATAAAAGAACCCAAAACCTCGATATATAGTTCTGCCCAGGCCTGTTCGCTTCTGCGAACAATTTAGCCGCTTCTACGACCTGAAGCCTGCTTCTGCGGAATCAACTGGAGAAATGGTTCTTCGCACCTACGGAAAGTCATCCGCTCCTGCGACATCGCAAGTGCGATATCAAACACGCATCTGCGCAGACGTCCGCTCCTGCGCCCCATCAATCGCTTCTGCGATAACGCAGATGCGGCCCAAAACTTTGCATATGCGATGCTTCCAAATATAGCCCTTTCCACTCCTGCAACCACTCTACCGCTTTTGCAGCTCCGCACCTGCGCCCATAGCTCCGCAGGTGTGGTCACACCAAAATCCCTGCCAAACCAGCCTTAACCAAATAGTTCCAAAATGATCTGAACCTCTTCCGAAACTCACCGAGCCCTTTGGGACCCCGTCTGAATATACCAATAAGTACCGTAACATAATACGGACTTACTTGAGGCTTCAAATTACACATAAAAACATCGAAACGATGTATCACACCTCGAATCGAACTTAATGAACCTTGAACTTTTCAACTTCCAAAACGCATTTCGAAACATATCAAATCAACCCGGAATGAACTCAAAATTTTCATACAAGTCCCAAATGACATAACGAAGCTATTTCAATTCTCGGAACCACAATCCGAATCCGATATCCTCAAAGTCAACTTCCGGTCAAACTTATGAACTTTCCAAACTTTCAAATTTTCAACTTTCGCCAATTAGTGCCGAATCCTTCTAGAAATATCCAATTGCAAATTCGGGCATATGCCCGAGTCCAAAATCATCATCCGGACCTAACGGAGCCCTCAAAACTTTGTTCCGGGGTCAAATTCACAAAAGTCAAACTTGGTCAACTCTTCCAACTTAAAGCTTAAATCATGAAATTCATTCTTCCAAATCGATTCTGAATAACCTGAAAACCAAAACGGACGATTTGCATAAGTCATAATACATCATACGGAGCTACTTATGCCCTCAAACTACCGAGCTAAGTGCAAATGCTCGAAACGATCAGTCGGATCGTTACACCCTCTTGACCGATGAAGGGTTTAACAACCTTTCACATATATACTCAAAAGTTCATAATTTAACTATTAGGGTATTTACCCAACCTAAATTGCAAGATTCCTAAAATCCACCCCCGGGCCCATGTGCCCGGATTCCGTTAATTTTCGAAGATAATAGTTACCCATAACCTCACGAACTCAAATATATAATTTTCACCCAATTCCATAATCATTTTCATTGTTAAATCCCATTTTTTATTTATCAAAAACCTAGGTTTTCAACTAAACCCATCATTTCTACACTTTATGAGCTAAGAATCTATCCAAAATACATGTATTAAACTCATCTTATATAGAAATTACTTACCTCAAAGTGCTAGGTGATAACCCCTAATCAAAGAGCTCCAAAATCTCCCAAGAGATGAAAGAAATGAGCCAAACTAGCCTAAGTCTCGATATAAATGCACTTCACTGCCTCCCAACATTTTTTGCACCTGCGGAAGCTTCGCCGCTTCTGCGGGAAAATCCTCGCTACTGCGGAACACGTGCGAACCAACACTGATCGCACCTGCGGAAAAACTCCGCACCTGCGAGCCCGCTCCTGCGGCTCGTCTCGCGCACGTGCGCCCTACGCCATGCTGCCTCCCTCCGCACCAGCGACTCCTGTATCATAGAAGCGAGTCCGCTTCTGCGGACTCTAGCCAGCCCACTCCTCAGTCGCTTCTACACATGATGGCTCGCATCTGCGGCCAAAATCTCACAGGGGCGGATGCACCAGAACTGGTGCACCAACAGCCCTTCATGCAAATTTCGAGTCCAATTCTAATCTGTTTTCGCATCCGAGGCCCCCGGAACCCCATCCAATAGCACTCACACATCCAACCACATAATACGGACCCGCTCGTACGATCAAAACACCAAAATAACATCTATAAATACGAATCAGACACCAAAACACATGAATCAAATTATGATACTCAAAAACTTCTAGAAACACTTCTGCGCGTCCGATTCCTATCAAATCAACTCGGAATGGCGCCAAAGTTTTCGTGCAAGTCACAAATCACCATACGGAGCTATTCCCAGGCTCGGAATCCCAAACAAACTTCGATAACACCAAATCCTACTTCAAACCAAATTTAAAGAACTTGAAAACCTTCAATGCGCCAACTTTTAATATTAAGCGCCGAAGTGCTCACGGGTCATCCGAAACCCGATCCGGACATACGCCCAAGTCTAAAATCATCATATAAACCTATTGGGATCGTCAAATCCCTGTTCCGAGGTCGTTTACTCAAAACGTTGACT